GGAATTTTGAGGTCATTGAAAAGGAGAAATCATATGGTGTAGATTTTCATGCATGGACTTGTTCTTGGAGAGCATGGCAGATCGAAAACATACTGTGCAAGCATGCTTGTGTATGTATCGATTCGAAAGGACTTTCGGTATATGATTACATGGATCGTTACTATAAGATTGATATGTACAAAGAAACTTACCAACCAATTTTAAACCCTATTCCTACCTTTGATATGGATTTTTGGAATGAAGATTATGATGATGATGATGTCATTAATGCACCTGATGTGAGATCTCAGACGGGTCGTAGAAGAACTCAAAGAATTCCTTCACAAGTTCAGACTCGTGTTACTAAGTGTAAACGGTGTGGTATAACCGTCGCTCTTGTAAACAAGCAATCATCTAAGCCTTGTTGTTGTTAATGCCTTTGGTGTCATGTATTGAAATATTTATACACTTTTTATGTTTTTTCTGATGTATTGTTATTTTTTAATGTTTATTTATTTTGGATCTTTTGTAATTGATTGTTCGAAGTTGTTTACTAATGTTTATTTGTGTTATTGTTTTTTGTAACAAACGACATCAGTGAATGTATGTCCCATAATGAAAAATGCAGTCAACTGTTTTCATATAGTAGTTTGCATGTACTCATTATGTCACATGACTCTATTGCATGTGTACCAGCATAGTACTAAGTGTATATGCAGATCGTACTAAACGAACATATTAAATAAATATTGGTATTATCAAATTTCATGTCATTTTTTATCATGTTAAAATTTGACTATTAGTAACTTACCCCATATTATTGTTCCAATAATTCAATATGGACATCAATTGAAATAATATATAACGGGGGTCAATGATTCTAATTTTGACATTAACTTTAAAATAAATCGTCAAGTTTTGGACACGACACAAAACAATACTAGTTGTCCCATGCGTTTATACATATAATGATGAACAATACAGACAATATGCAAGACATTTACTAAGGAGCATCTATTTGTATTTTTGTGGGTTTTGAAAGTAAGAAAGTAATGTCAATATGCATTTCATCTCTTTAAATGTCTTCAAACATATTTGGGATTACTTTGTCTACGATTTTGTAATGGTTTCATAACATAGTTTTAACTTGTCTTAAAAAAATAAATGGTCGTTTGTGATTTCGATGGACAAGTTATAACTATATATATAGTCATACAAGTGGAATACAAAGCCATCTTTGAATAACTAATTCAAATAGCGTATCGCGCTGTTCAATGATCATCGATATCATTAATTTTTCAATCATATTCGAAGTGCTAGATCCGACATAACAAAATATTACCAATTTCATGTACTAAGTGAGTGTATTTGGAATTCTTGGTATATGACTTTGTAATATGTGTTGTTTATATAGTGCAAACTTCTCTTACAATATAAATGGTTGATGTTGTACATGTTGTAGCTAGATATCACATAGTCATTAGTGTAGGTCATACAAGTGCAATTCAACAGACAACTATGAATATATTTTTCCGAAAGACCAGACGCAACAAAGTGCTACCAGTCACCTGCGTGTGTACTAAGTTCTGAACACATAAGTACTATATATAAAGATGAAAAATACTAATAATATGGGATACATGTACTAAGGGAGAGTATTGGTATTTTTTACTGTACGAAATTATGAATCATGTACTAAAAGAGTTTATTGGTACTTTTTTTAGTTTTTTGATATTATGAAAGCAATGTCAATACATATCAAATCTATTTAAATATTTTAGTACACGTTCAAAATTACTTGGTATATGATTTAGTAATATATTGTGAATACATAGTGCAAACTTTTCTTAAAACATAAATGGTCGATGTTGTACAAGTTGTAGCTATATAATAGTGGAATTCAACGTATAACTTTAAATATCTAATTTAAATAATGTATAGCGGTGGTCAATGATTTTGACATTATAATTTTCTTCAAACTTTCCTAAGTACCACATCTATCGTAACAAAATACTATCAGTCACCTATATGTGTACCAAGTGTTGAATGCATAAGTATTGTATGTAAAAATGAACAAGACCAACAATAGGAGAGACGTAATAAGCGAGACAACTTGGAATAAGTAATTCAAATATGACGTATAATTTGCTCAATAATGAGTGATACCATAAATTTTCACTTTCATTTTTGCAAAAAAAAAAAAAAAAAAAACATCCAAACTACTAAATTCGACACAATAAAATACTAACATCTACCTTTGTTTGTACTAATATTGTACGTAGGTTCATCTTCCAAAAGTGACTAAAAATAAATACATGAGGTTACTTTAAGGGCCTAATACAAGATCGTCAATTTTATGATTCAGCAATGCGCACGCAATGCGTGCTCGAACCGCATCCATAGAGCAACTCTCTGCATATTTACACATCCATTGAGTGCCTCTAGCATAACACTCATCCCAAAAAATACATATGCACCACAATCCACGATACCGTCTTGTTGTTGGCATTTTACCGCTTCAAAAGCGGTAGGCAATACAATCCCCAACTTAACACAAAAATATTTGCTGTAAAACTCAACCTACAATATTTATTTCATAAGTTTTTAACCAAAATAAATAAATAGGAGAAATACGTGTTAAAAAATAAGAACTTAAAATTTTCTTCACAACCGATTTGTATCTGGGGTCATTGTTGAGTTCTAGTAGAAAAACTATTTAAGGGTTGTGTCTAGAACTAGTAGGAACCAATGACAATCTCTGTTTATCGGTATAAGAATAAATCGATATGTCGAGAAATTGTTATCATTTATTTTCTCCAATATATTTTTTCACATTGAATTCATGCTATGCATCAACTCCTTATAATTAATGTCATTGATGTTCAAAAAGTTAATGTCTTTAACAATTCTAAGTATTTCAACCTATGAAACATAGAACGATGTATAAGAAGTACAAGTAGTTTTTATTGAATATATATATTTGTGGTGTTTCTTGTATAACAGTTTCACGGCTACGTCGCTGTGTTTTTTTCTTCTTCCACGTCCATATTTTCTTGCAATGACTCTAATTTTTTTTCTTGGCGACGTGCTTAGTGCTGGTGGAGTAACAAAACCTTTCGCTCTCGTTTTTTCTTTCCTATCATTTCTATTTTGAACATTTCGAACAATAGAGGAATCGTAACGTCTTTTTGACCGTATTTTTCTTGTTTCTTAAGTGATTCCTCCTCTTCTTTCTCTTTTTCATTATCGCCCTCTTGTTTTTCTTCTTCGTCATTTTCATTATCTTCTCCATTCTCATCATGTTCTTTGCATTCTCCCATCCCCCTCTCTTCTTTCTCTTCTTCATGCTCGTCTTATTCTTTTTGTCCTTTACTCTCGTCATCTTCTTTATCTTCTTTACCCTCCCCTTCTTTATTCTTTTGAATATCACCAAATTCGGAAATTAGATTCACAAAATCCTTTAAATAAAATAAAACATGAAAATTAATATGCATTTAGTACAAATAAAGTCGGAAAATATCACATTGCAGCTCCTATTTTGTATAGATAAAGTCATAAAACTGTAACAACAGAAGTTTTAAAATCCTACAGATGTGCTTGTCAAAAAGTTATCATCCCTCATATTCATACCATCGCACTCTTCTTCCTTGACAAATTGGTCATTTTGCGTTTCAAAATCCACAGATTTATTCTTCAAAGATACAAGTTCGTGATCTCTAGTTTTACGAAATGCTTTTAGCTCCTCAATTTTCTTCCTCAAAATTATAATTTCATCATCTCTAGCTTTGAGAAGAACTTCTACTCCAATATTAGCTGATGGAAATTCATTATTAGTACAATCATCTGAATAAGTGGGTGGAAGATCAATCAACTAGTTCTCTTGGGATTTGGAATAAACAGAACAACTTAAGTAAACAAATAATTAACACAAAAAGATATCAATGTACTTCATAATTTTACATTAAATAGAGAAAAAACAAACATGTGGTACTAACAAGTTATTACCTTTTCAGTTGTAAGTTCATCAAGCGCATTTTGAAATTTAGATTCTTCTCGTCCCGTCTTGCTATTGTCCCACCAAAAAAATCGAGGAAATCGACTCAAGCTTGTCGGTGCCCGATAAAGGAGACCGTTTCATAAAACCAAGCCTGCCAGTTTTATAAAAATGCATAGGTTATGGAAATTAAGAATCAAAATACAAAAAAAAATTTATATTAAAATATATATTACTTACTAATTAATGGTGCAACCATTGATGTACGTCTTCTTTTGGTTTACATGTGCCCTCAATTCGCCGATCAAGTAATCAGAAACAACTTTTCCCCATGAAAAAGAACCTAATTCAGACAAATCCTCTAAATAGTTTCCTTGAGGAAATAATACACAATTACAAACAAAAAGAATGTATATTCTACATAAGTCATCTACACAATCATCCCTCGAAGCTAATTCTAATAATCGGTCAGCTAATTCATTCCGCAAAATGTTTTATTTTTTTTCCGGAAAATAGATCATCAATAATCGAAGATTTTATCTTGAATTTTAAATCAACAGTGTGCCCCTTATGTCACAACCCCATCACCATAGAGAACTTAGAAGCTTCAAAAGGGACCTCAACATCTTCTCCATACTTTAAAGACATTTTCTTAACCTAAAAATGTCTCATAATAGCTAAAACCTTAGTAAAACTATGAGTGAGGTTAGGCTTATTCAAAAAAAGCCCAAATAGAGTGCTTTTGATGGCCTCCAGTTGTGCGGTTCATCTTTGCTTTTACTTGATCCAATGTATTCTTTAAGTTTGATGGAGAACGACGCGAATATAGCGCACACTTCTTTGACTCCTTAGGGGCCATTTCTGAAGTGAACAAACAAACAAAGATTATTAATATAAAAAATATATTAAGCAAGCATCTCAACCATACAACCTAAAATTATAAAACAAAATGCAATTAACTAAACATTCTCTCAATCTGCACTAATATTACTTGCAAAACATGACAAAAGACAAAATATTAAGAAAAAAATTGCATTGTACTAATTTGCCCGATTTTAAATACCAAAATACATACAACAATAAACTAGATTACTACAAAGCATAAAATACGAACAAATAACCACTGAAAATCATAGTTTTCAAAAAAAAAAAATAGAGCTATTGCAAACTCAAATAGGAAAACACAATTTAGGCTTAAAATATTTGGGTTCAAATTGGATTTTTATTTTTTAGAAATCCAACCTGAAAACTAAAACATAAACAAAAAAAACTAACATGAGAAATCTGATATCTTTGCTTTTGCATTTTTTTTGTTTTTCCCCTCAGTCCTTTTCTACTTTGAGAGCGAATACCACACCAAATAATTGGGTATTTCCGTTTTCTTGAAGTGTTCTTGACTATGGAAGAATTTAGTTGAGAAGAGATGAAACCTTCGACTGAAGAAGAAAGGGTAAAAATTTTGGTTCTTCTGTTGTGTTGAGCGCGAATTACTAGATCTGTGAGAGAGAGGAATTTGATAAGAGAGACAATTCTTGTTTAAGTTGTCGTTTTCTTTTAGAGTGAGGGCCAATACAATCTTTTCACATCAAGGTGGGAGGTAAGTGTATAGAATCAATAATATAGGGAGTTTATTATACTTTAATTGAAGTGGGGAGATAAATGAAAGTTAAAAGGCAAAAGGATTTTAAACCAAAAAACCCTAAAAAAATACTCATCTCACTAAATAGTAGGGTACTGCACCGAGCCACTAACCTCAATTCCCAAACACCAACACCTTATTTCTTCTCTTTTTACTGTAATCGTTTTCCTTTTCCTTTTTTTTCTCCAATCATTACCACCCATTAACCCATCAAGCCACCATTGAAGATCTCAGCTCAAGACACAGCTCGAGCACTAGCGCCAGTGTCCCGTTAAAGCCCTTTTCATCGTCCAACAACGGGGTTTTGACTAGGTTTTCTTTTATTGTTGATTTTTTCTTCTCCCTCCACTCTTTTGCTAATTTAATCTAAAAATGATTTCTAAAAAAACAAAATTTTATCTGGGTTCTGGGTTCGCGATCCGACGGGCCAAAAAACCAGGTTTTATCAATTAAACCGGTGTTTTGAAATTCGCGCCTGTGAAGCCAAACAGACCAGACAAGGCAGCGGTTCGCGGTTGAACCGGTCGAACAGGCCGGTCTCGTCCGGGATTCAAAACATTGTTGTGAACAACCGTAATATTATTACTGTAACGACAGTAATATTACCGTCAACCAGAGTAATACTAGTATGTTTATAATAATATTACTATAGTAGATAGTAATACTATTACGTTAACCGGTTAACAAATCAATCAAAATAAAAAGACAAAAAATAAATATTGATGTTGTTGACAATAATATATATTTCTGTGTTTATAGTAATTTTACCGGCAACGACAATAATGTTATTTCGCTGACTAGTCAACATATCAAACAAAATAAAAAAGTCAAAAGAATAATAATGTTGATGTAGTTGACAATAATATTATTGTGTTTATAGTAATTGTACTGTCAACGACAGTACAATTACTGTCAATGATAGTACAATTACGGTCAAGGTTCAGCGTCGGGCGAAAAAAAAAATGGATACAAATTTACAGGAAAAATAAAGTCAACGCTAGAGATCGGCATTGACCAGATCAACTCCGGAAAACAACGACGTATAAAAGTGAAGAAAAAAAAATCTAAAAAAAATCAACGCCAAAAACCAACAGCAGGAAAGCAGATAGGAGGGGAAAGAAAGTCAACGCCGAAAACCCAACGGTAAAAAAACTACAAAAAGAAAATGCCAAAATTTAATTTTTGTGGTCAAAATTGTTGAAATTGAAGTTAAGTTGGGATACAATTAGAAATTAGGTTTAGAGGGACCTCTTCGAGCATTAGTTTTAAAGCCTTCGTCACCTGGACGGTGCGTTGAGGGGCTCGGCTAACGTTATCTTGTGGTGGCGGAGGTGCACTGTTATTGTCTAGTGGAAACGAAGGGGCAGCGATGTTGTCTTGTGTAGGCGAAGGGGCTGCGATGTTATTTAGCGGCGCTCGATTTCCCCAGAATGGGGTGGTGGAGGATTCCTCATCCGGTTGGTTACGGCGGAGGTAGCGTTTGCGTGATTATCTGGATTATGTCTACGTCGCGATGACATGGTTGGCATTCTTATAGACGGCGCCAGAATGATGACGTAAAGAGTTATCTTGATAAATTGGTACAGGAACATGGGGCATATTTGTTGTGCGCGAGCAGATGATCCAGTCATCTACAGAGGAAGACTTGATTATCAAACTTGTAAAACCAAAGCAAGTGAACTAAGCCAGGGGTTGATCCGGCGGAAACTCCAACGATCCAGTCAAACGCTAGCATAAAAAATAGGGTAGAGAGCACAAGATCAATAGGACTCAAGAGATTTTTTAGAACGTACCTTTTCAATGAGGTTCAGGTGTTATTTCTATTTAATTCATAGTAAACTCCTAATTAGCATATAAATCTATTTGAACTTATATTTAAGACTCTAGTTAGGTCCTTGAACTGATATAGTGGGCTCTAGTCCTCGTTCCGGTGGACTATTAGACTTTTGATTTTCGGCCCACATGAGCAGATAATTAATAGGCCCATTTTGTTGGTATCTTGGCCCATTTTAATGCAATGGTTAGTGGGCCTGGTCCACTTATCTGTATCACCCACGAATGACAACCAAAAACTGCCGTAACCCGTTTTTCATAAATTCGGTAAGTGTTTCTCTTTATTTTTCATTCTCTTATTAGCTTGCTTAGGGTAATGAAATAGCTTGAATCTATCCAAATAACATAAGTAGGGTGTATTTAAAAACTCCCATGATCCCTATCTATTTTATGTTATTATGCTATCACTATAAGAAAATGCAAAATAGGCAACAATTTCTTTATCGACGAAATTAATTTGATAATTGCTTATTTGCTTCATGGGTTACGAGTTGAAGTAAAATTTGTTTATCCTATTTGATTGTTCTTGTGGTGAAGTTAGAGAGTAATGCATGTTGATGATGGTGACTGTGGATTATTAATGAGGTTTCTCAAGCATGTTAGATATAAATTTGTGTATGTATGCATGTCAAATGTTCGATAAAATTAGCAAACCAAAAGTGCTTTTAAAATTCATGCTTTTTGGTGAGTATAGTTTTCTTAAGTTTGCGGGAATAATTTATTGACATTTTGATAGAGATATGCCTATGTTTAATTCAAAATTGTTGGTATCCGGTGTTATGAAAGTTGATTGCCTTTGATTATTAATATGTGGTTTGTTTTCGTTAATTTTCTCTCGTATGTAAATACCGAAGCACAAAAAAAATGATTGTCCTTGTACTAGCCGAGTAGAAGGCCAAAATTAGGCGGCGACTAGTGAGACCCCACAATACAAAAAAACGGCGAGCATGAAACATATAGGGTCGTTGCGTGTACATCAAGGTCTAAAACCGTTACTAAGGCACTGTTAAATATTTGACTTTTGAGTCAAATAAAATTTGATTGTTTTCACTTTCTTAAATAATTTTTTATTATTTCCGAATTTACTATTATTATTGGATTTATTATTTTAATTCGGATTTATTATTTATAGTTAGTGGCGGTTATTTTTAGCTTAGTAGGTAATTATTTAAGCACATGTTTAATCAATCGACTAACCCATAATCTCTCCTAGTGTGTTTATTTTGTACAGGCCAAGAAGCTCTTAGACTGTATAAATAGTAAAAGAACTCAATTCATTTTTCACATTTTTTGTAGAAAGTTGAGAGCACAGAGCTGCGGGTGTTGGAATTTTTTTTCCAACACCCTGTTTTCTTTATAGATTTGCCACTACAAAATTGAGTCTGTTTTGTATTGAATATCATTTAATACTAGTTATGTAACATCATCATAGATTCTAGAATTGGTTTACGAAGAAATCAACTTGTCATTTTCTTCTAAGAAGAGAAGATCTTTGCTTCTCATTTGTATTCTTTGGAATACTGATTTGTATTTGTAGAGAGCTGTTAAGCAATATTGACATACAATCTAGGAATTGAATTGGTTTACGAAGAAATCATCCTGTGATTTTTTATTAGAAGAGAAGATCTTGACTTCTCATTTGTATTCTTTTGAATACTGTCTTTTGCCTATGAAGGAACCATCCACAAGTTATATACTTATGGATAATGATTTAAAACTCGTGTCATTTATATTTCGCTGTATAATCTTTTTCAACACAAGTTTTTGTTTCTTTGAAAGAAATCTCTGATTTTATATTTATTTATATTCATCCGCACCAATTCAGATGCATTCAATTCTTTCAATTCGCATCAAGAGCCAATACTTGACCACTTGACCTATACTAAGTGTTGTATCCTCTCGTTATTTTTGTTAGAGTAGGTGACCAACAAGCGAACTTGTGGCTGTGGTATTTCAATTTATTCTTATAATAAATAATCCTTTTTCGTATTTATGATAAAAACACATGGGCATTCTATATCTTTGTCCCTTTGTCTCAAACATAGATATAGTCCTTACAGTTATTACAAGTACTAGTAATTGATCTTTAGGATCGTGAGATATTTACTTTAGTATTATAACTGTTAAACACGTTCCTAGTCGAAGGGTTCCGCCACCAATGAGGATATCGGACTTTCCCATTAAGAAACTTTATGTGTACTTTCTATGTACTCTTGCTTGCTTATGTGAATCATTGGGTGAGAGGATGAGAGAAGGGTAAGTAGAAGGGTGCATGTGTGGGTGCATTAGTATCATGAATTTTAAAAAAGGTAAAAACATGATGGAAAGTCTTTCGAGGCTACGGTAAATATCCCGGGTACGCCGAGTCGGTACCGTAGGCCCTAGGGGTGGTTTGATTCAACGTAGATAGACAGATTCGAAATATATGAGGTTATTTACCGGTAACTTAGATTGACTCTTCTGAGGGATTCCTGATGATTTTTCATGTCATGCATGTTGCATTATGGTGTTGAGGATATAGATGGGAAAATCTCACTCTATGGTCTTGGGATCGTAGGGTTATAAAGGTGAGAGATTCTCATCCTATAATCTTCAATACGTGTCATGGCATAGGGTTATAAAGGTGGGATATTCTCACTCTATGGTCTTGG